AAAGAGTGTTAAGAGTAGGCTAAAAGAACTATGGTATCACATGAACTGTTTTAAGCAGTAAAGTTTAAACAGTAACAATATAGTTAAAACTTCACATAACCTGTTCCAATATAATCATACTATTCTGTAATTACTAGTTAAAAATTTCTTTAAAAATGTCAGTTAACATTACAGATTCTCCAGCTCCAAAAGTAATGCTTTCCTTTTTGCATCTCACTTAGAACAACATTTTCAATTACTATATGATACAGAGGAAATAATTTTGAGAATTACTTTATTTTCATTTAGAAATAAAGATTAGAAAAGCAAAACAAACAGCAAAAATCCAGCAGTCTCCCACCTCTAAAAAGGGTAGATTTCAACTAACATAAAACTAGTGTACAAATGAAATAAACGTGATTATGTCATGTGTTCAGAGGGCAATCTGCAACAGAAACTTTGGCCAAGCAGTTTCATTTTCCATCATTTATCTTTCATTATTTAAGAATGTGTTTAAAGAATATTTATGGTTTTCTTGGAAAGTCACCTAAATATCTACCCAAAAAAGAACTTCTTGGGTTCACTCTCCAAGTAGCCATAACAGTTGGGACTGAGCCAATCCAAAGTCAGGAGCTTCTTCAAGTCTCCCACATGGGTGCAGGGTCCTAAGGCTTTAAACAGTTCTCCACTGCTTTCCCAGTCTGCAAGCAGGGAGCTGGATGGGAAGTGGAGCAGTTGGGTCGTGAACTTATATGGGATCCCGGTGCTTGCAAGGTGAAGATTTAGCCAACTGAGCCATTGTGCCAGGCCCATATCCTGTTGCAGGATTATTATTTTCAAAGTAGTTACTGTTAACTGAAATTATCTTATTTATGCTTATATGCTTCACATCTATCTTTGCCCAGTCAAATCTGTAACCTTTGTTAAGAGATGAGATGTTGCCTTATTATTTGTTCTACTCTTTGTACCTAAAATGGGGTTTAAAATAGTCCTTTTATATAGGTAAGATACAAGCTGAATAAAAGTTTGTTGAACTACTAAATGAATGAATGAAAAATCCCATTAGTAACTTCAAAAAGGGTAGTAGTTTTATACATAAATGAGAATAGGTCTTATTCGGTGCTTCAAAAAGTGCTGGTGTGTTATGTAACACAGGGTTCACACTGCATAATTTGCACATCAGATTCCAACTATGAGAAATAACATACATATCTATATACACACAACATATACTCATATATGTATATATACGAACAGAAAGAATGGAAGCAAATTAAAATTTAGCAAAACTTATCTCTGCTCACTAAATGTCCTTTCTCCTCTTCTTCTCACTTTTACCTTTTATACATTTCCCCAAAATTTTATCAGTAAATATTTTTTGTGAAAGAAAAAAAACCAAAAATATATAATGGTAATAAAAAATGAACAAGTGATACAATAATGTGAATGATTTTTCCACACTAAATGTTGAGTGAAAGAAGCAGACACAATATACTATTATTCCATTAATCTGAAATTCAAAAGCAGGCAAAACTAACCTAAGGTAAAGGAGGCAAGGCTGATGGTTACCCCCACCTGGGGCACTTGACAGGGAGGCAACATAAGGCAAACTAATAAGGATGATGTGACAGAAATGTTCAATCTTGTTCTAGATTGTTACCTAAGAATACAGTACCTGTGAGACTTGTTTATCTTACTATATGTAATACATTTCAATTTAAACAAAAGGACGATTATGCATAGGTAGAATGGATGTAACAAAAAATAAAATAAATTTCAACAGTTTCTAGGTTTTTTTTTAACATGTTACTTATATTCCCACTGGCAGACATACTTGGGGAAGGCATTTAGCTCAGTGGTTTACTTGTGTCCCACACTGGGAAATCTGTATTCCTTTCTGTCTTCAGCTCCTGACTCCACACCCTGCCCATGCAGATGTGGGGAGGCATTGGTGATGATGAAAATGACTGGATTTCCATCATCCACATGGAAGCCCTGGATTGATTTCCTGGCTAACCATGCTTGTTGTGTGCATTGGGAAGTGAAGCAGTGGATTTGGGGTTTTTTGTCTGTCTCATCCTCTCTGACTCGCTGCTTCTTAAATAAAACCTAAACAAACAAAACTAATAAATGGTCAAGAAAGTTTTTAGGTTAGTTAAAAAAGCTGTGGAAAACTTAATTTAATGAAATTCTTTATATAATGTGAAAGCTAAATCTTAAGAGTTTCTGAATCTTTCTGTTTTTCTTTTCACATTCCTTACTGTTTTTTTGCAGCAGGAATTACACTGTATATTTAGAATGTACATTTAGAAATAAACAGGTGAATGTGCAGCAGAGCCTTCTGCCTTCTTTTCCCCTCAAATGGGTTTTCCACTCCCAATAATGATAATAAAATGTAGGCTGAAGCCACTGAGAGCAATCAGAAAACAAGATACATGCCATGTGCCAATATGTCAGAAAAAAAAAAGAACCCTTTTTGGGTTTCCGGATTGACATTGTTGTACAGCATGTTAAGCCTCCTTCTTTAATGCTAGCAACCCATATGAATGTTCACTCAAGTCTTACATGCCCCACTTTTGACTCAGATCCTGCTAATACAACTGGTAAACTGGAAGATGGTCCAAGTACTTATGCCGCTGTCACACATTTGGGAAATGGGAATGAAGCTCCTGGCTCAGCCCCAGCTACTGTGGCCATTTCAGGAACAGAATCACTCTCTCCCTCCCTCTCTATATAACTTTTATATAAATAAATAAAATAAATTTTTAAAAATGGAGTTACAAGACTGACCTAATTCAGCTTTCTGCTGATATGTATTCTAGAAGGCAGTTGGTGACAGGGCAAGGAAGAGCTCACTTTGCTTCTCTCTGCCTTTCAAATAAAAACAAAATATTTACTTACTTTTAAAATAAAGGACCTTAAGTACAAAACCTGGAGCCTAGTAGGTAAGGAGAAATTGCAGAAGATTTCTGAGAAGATAACAGTTCAAGTGGTGTCTAAGATTAAACTGGCAAATGTGTTCAGGAAAGACTGATAAGGAAAATAATGGGGCAAGAGACTATTTCAGATGCTAATCATGAACTAAAAGTGAATGAATGGAGGACCAAATTAGGGTTGAGGTAACAAAAATGTAAAATAAATGAAAGCAGAAATGAGACATGTCTCAAAAAGGTAAGATTGTACAATTAAATACAAACATACAGAAGGAGAGGCAAGGATAATAAAGTAGTGCAACAACGGTCAAACTTGTGATGGGATCTGAGCCCAGGAACAGCTTATTCAGAAGAGAAGGGAATTCAGACAAGTAAACTAAGGATTTGGAACTTACAGAAATGTAAAAATTCAGGTTAAGAATTTAGGAACTGTATCCTAAAAAGTAATGAAACATGGAGAATATAGGCGCTCATAGCAGGGAGTAGACAGGACTCCTCTTACATAATAGATTAAAAAAAAAATGATCACAGAATATGAAGTACCAGTAATTTTCAAGTTGACACAACGGATACAAAGGGAATGAAGAATAAAATAGAAAGGTAGATTGGCTCATTAGCTTACTGGTGACCTCTACCAGATGCTATACTTCCAGAGTCTGAGACTCTAAACCCTGCAAATATATCTCTGTTAATAATTAGCTATTTTTCTGACATTCTAAAGAACTTTTCTGATACTTTCTAAAGAGCACTTATTGCGTAGTAAAACAGTTTTAAAACATTACTATATATATATAGTATATATATATATATATATATATATATATATATATATATATATATTTGATAGAGAGAAGAGGGAGAAACAGAGGCAGAGTGAAGCCCGTCTGCTGGCTTCTTCCCCAGGTGCCCACAGCAGCAGCCCAGGGCTGGGGCCATCCACTCCCATCACAGGCTGCTGCTTCCCAGGGTGCTCAGCAGCAGCCAGGCATGAAACCCACAGCCCTGACAGGGCACGCAGGGTTTTAACCAGCGTCTTCACCACAAGGACACACATCAGCCATCCCTGCAAGACTCTGTAATTCTTAAAGAATAGAGGAAAAGCTCAATATTTTTTACAGATTTATTTTTATCGGAAAGGCGGATTTACAGAGAGAAGGTGAGACAGAGAGAATCTGTCTGTCGGTCCACTCACTAAAGGACAATAACTGGGGCTAAGCTGACCTGAAGGCAGGAGTTTTTTCCGGGTCTCCCACATGGGAGAAAGGTCCCAAGACTTTGGGCCATCCACCACTGTCTTCCCAGGCCACAAGCAGGGGGCTGGATGGGAAGCGCAGTAGCTGGGTGGGACATGCACCCATATGGTATCCTCAGGTGTGAGGATGAAGATTTAGCCACTGAGCCAATGCATCGGGCCCAAAAAGCTCAATATTTCCTGAATGAAAGGCCAAATTAATGTCTCAAAAGAGAAAATGTTTCACTATTTAATCATACATTAATAGCAAAAAAGGATATCCGGATATTTATGTTTTAAAAATCTTATGATCTTTAATGAAAAGTAAATTATTTAAAAAATTATCAAACACAGAGGCAAAGAAAGAGTATAGAATTGGTTAGTATCTCCCTGCTAAATAAAAATTAGGAAATGAAAGTAAATTAATAAACTAATGGTCACTGTGGGACAAAAATAACTGATGGTCTAAAAGCTGGGAATATTTTAACAGAATAAATAAAACTGGAGAGTCATAGGCTAAGATCAATATATACTTTTTGTTTTGTTGTTGTTTTTAAAGATTTATTTATTTTTATTGGAAAGGCAGATGTACAGAGAGGAGGAGAGACAGAGAGGAAGATCTTCTGTCCGATGATCCACTCCCTAAGTGAGCGCAACAGCCAGACTTGAGATAATCCAAAGCCAGGAGTCAGGAGCTCTTCCAGGTCTCCCACGCAGGTGCAGGGTCCCAAGGCTTTGGGCCATCCTTGACTGCTTTCCCAGGCCACAAGCAGGGAGCTGGATGGGAAGTGGGGCTGCTGGGATTAGATCCGGCAACCAATGGGATTCCAGGGCATGTGCAAGGCAAGGACTTTAACCACTATACTATTGTGCCGGGCCCAACACAGATCTTAAGAAGTAATGCATAAAGATCCAAAAATCATCAAAAGAACTACCTACCAGGGTTTCATACCAAAGATAGAATACTGTAGGAGGAAAGGGCAAAGAGACAATCAATAGCATCAATAGCTGGAATACCAGACTGGGTACAGCCAGCAGCAGCAGTCTGTATTAATTCCTCACTGAACACAATTTTGCAGTGACAGACGGTACTTGCCTTCAAAAAAGGAGAAAGGCATGTCTTAGAAAAGGAAATGTTATTGATGGCTGGTGATATTCAGAAAGGAAACATTTATTCCCAATAGACTGGGTACCATCAATACTTTCTTTTTTTTTTTTTTTTTTTGTTGCAAACAGAAAAGTTTATTTGCGAAGGGACCAGGGAGCAGGGAAGGGAAGGAAGGGGAAGCACCTCCGGAAAAGAAGCCGGGAGGTGGGGTGCTCTCAAAAGAGGAGGGAGAGAGAGACACCAAAGGTTTGAGGAAGGGTCTAGGGGTTTTAAGCCTTCCTTGACCCCTCCTTGTTGGGCGGGGAACCTATAGGTGAGATGTTCCCCATTGGTGATCTCTTGATTAATTAGGAAATGGGCGGACAATGCTGGTACCGCCCACCTGAAGGTGTGGCCAAGACCTCAAGGGACCTGGATGGTCTCAGTCCCCCCTCTTGAAATCCCACATCCTACTTCTGTAGGGAAAAGGGGCGACGATGTCTTCTGGCTGCTTCCTGCTGAATCGGGACGACGTTTGGGTAAGGGGCCCCTGAAGGTGTGGGATCCAGAGAGATGGTCCAGGTCATCCAAGTTGCCATGGCAGAAGTTGGTCTGGTTGTCACACAAGTTTGCATGTACAAGGCCACCTTGAGTCTGAAGACCCCTTGTGAAGTCTTCTCTCAGTTGAGTTGGGCCACGTGGCTCCCGTTAAGTCTCTTTTTTTCGAGCCCCACGTTGGGCGCCAGGGAAAATATGTTACCAGAAATGCCCGGTGGGTTCTTTCCTCAGCTTAGTATAGAAATAAAAAGCCGGGAATCTGTTGCAAACAAAAAAGTTTATTTGCGAAGGGACCAGGGAGCAGGGAAGGGAAGGAAGGGGAAGCACCTCCGGAAAAGAAGCCGGGAGGTGGGGTGCTCTCAAAAGAGGAGGGAGAGAGAGACACCATCAATACTTTCTACTCATTCCTTTATCATTCAAAATTTTATGTGAGGAACCAGTGTTACAGTACAGCAAGTTAAACCACGCACTGCCTGTGATGGCAGCATCCCACACAAACTCTGATTAGAGACCTGGCTGTTGTACTCCTCATCCAGCTCCTTGCTAATGTATCCGGGAAAGACTCAGAATACAGCTTAAGTACCTAAGCCCCTGCCACCCATAACAGGGACCTGGATGGAGTTCTGGGCTCCTGGCTTTGGACTGGCCCAGCTGTGGTTATTGTGGCCATTTGGGGAGTGATCCAGTACATGGAAGATTTCTGTCTGTCTTTCCCCCTCTTTATAACACTGCTTTTCAAACAAACAAACAAACAAACAAACAAATCTTCAGTGAAAATTTCAATAACAGAGTGAAACTTATCCCCTAAATACAGGAGAGGTAGAATGTGGCAAGCAACGTCAATGTTAAAAACTGTAACAAAGAATGAATAAACTTCTGAGGAGTATAAATCCCATTGAAAACAAGTTCAACAGATGAAGAACATTTATAACCAAAGATTTAAAACGTAACTGAAATAGGATTTTTAAATAAATGTTTTGACTTCTGCCTTTACCTTTGATGTAACATGAACTAATCTGAAAGCTTTTTTTTTTAGATGATTTATTTATTTGGAAGTGCGAGACAGAGAGAGAATCTTCCATCGATTGATTCACCCCTAGAGATGGCTACAATAGTCAGAGATCTGCAAGGCCAAATTCAGGAGCCAGGAACTTCTTCCAAGTCTCCTTCATGGATATCGGAGCCCAAACATCTTCTGCTTTTCTCAGGCCACTAGAAGAAAACTGGATGAGAATTGCAGCAGCCAGGACACAAACTGGCACCATTTGGCAATTCGGTTGCATGCAGCAGCTCTACCTACATAGTGCAGGTCCTGTTCATTTAAAACAGCTAACAAACTGGGTAAAAGAGAACACTGTCTTAAACATTGGAACTGTGATCCCTGGGAGAGGGCTGTCATCTCCTGACTTTCTGCTTGGAGGCACATTCTGGACTTTGGAATACGGACCAGGTTTTAACCAGAACATAGTTGTTTTGTTAAGTCAAGGAGACAAGAATCTGAATTTTAAAACTCTGTGGTTTTTGGACAGTGTAAGACAAAGTTCTAGAGGCATGGGAGCCATGTAGACAAGTTTTTAAAAAAGTTCAAAAATCTGCATCAAGTCTTCACTAAAATAGTAATGCCTAGGATAGAATTCTATAAGGTCAGTCAAAAAGTGGCCGAAGTCTATGTGCTGATGGTGGTCAGAATTCACACAGATCTGAGATTCAAACCTCTACTGCCAAAATGTAGAATTTTCATCTATCATTCAATGTAATTTATTAGTAGAGACTTCAGATGGATCATGTTTTAGTGCAATGAATCTATCTCATTTTAAGGACTACTCCATTCCTTGCATTAACAAGGCTTGAAATTACAAGTGATGTAACTATCCATCAGAAATCCAAAAACCCAAGAGACCTAACAGTGTAAAGTTCACAATGATTAACATTTAACAAAAGTTATTAGACATAGCAAAAAATAGGAAAGTGTTACCAATAACAAGGGAAAAAAACACAACAGAAATGAATCCAAAGATGATGGAAATGATGAAAATATCAGTTATGAGGAAATACATTCATGTACTTAAAAGAAGAATACTTTATGGAATAAATATGCTTGCTATCTTCCCAAAGGTATGAGGCCAAATCTCATCTATAAAAAAGAACAGAGAATGGTGAGAAAAGGAAAAAAAGTGTAACTATTGAAATATAAACTCAATGCCTTGAAAAACCTGATGCTTCAATAACGGAAAGTAATTTCAACCAACATATTATAGTACCTCCCAATGACTGAGGAATTAATGGTACCATGCACTCAGAAAGTCGGTATGAAGTGAAGCTGAAATAAAGCGCATCAGTTGAAGATGATTTAAGAAGTAATTTAATGTCAAGACCTCTTCTCTCATTGTATGCAACTGGGTGAATGCTCTGACTTACGCTCCAGTGGAAATTTACAGGCTTAATTCTTGAGACTAAAACAGGGTCACTAGACATAAGGAATCAAGGCACAGCTGAGGACAAGGCCACCACAATGAAAATAGAAGGATTAAATAAACATACGTATACTGGATACTAGCATGCCACAGTCTTACTCACCCCTGTAGTCAAAGCTATAGCAACCAAGCTCTGCCTTCTGGCCAGGGAACAATCTTCTGATAATCTATCAGCTAAAGCATAAAGATACAAACACTTGGAATCCTCATTATAAAAATAAAAATCAAGTAGAATTTACACCTGAAAAAATCCCATCCATTGGCTCTGTTTCAATTAGCTTCTTAGTTTACCACTCTTTACTAGGATTTGATATCCAACTATGTGTAATAACCAAATAAAACAATGCTCCAACAGAAAAAATACAGATTAAGACAAATATACCAACAACAAAAAAATTCAAATTGGAGGGAGAAAATTAAAGGGAAGAAAATATATGTAAAAGAGAGTTGAAAGATACAAAAGTATTATTTTAAAAAGGAATAATCAGAAAACAAATTAAACTCATATATGAGGGATCTTCAAAAAATTCATGGAAAATATGTTATGGAAGGATATGCATAGATTTATAAATTACTCTGCATGAAAAGAAATTTATCTTCTAGTACTCAGTTTCCTACTGACTTCGTGAGGTACCCTTGTACTAAAAATGTTGAGAGCAAAACATTGAAAGATAAACTTTATGCGACCCTCCAGAAAAGAGAGGGAAAAGAGAAAGATGCTGGATAAAGAAGACCTAAAAAAAAAGTTAGAGGGCTAATTATAAAGAGTCAGTATCTAAGTGACAGGTGTACTTGAAGAGGAAAGACCATCAACTACACAAGCTGAGGCAATTCCCCAGGAGAAAGTAAGCTTCCAGATAAAAAGTATGGGACAACTGCCACGCCCTAGGAATCAAAGCAAACGCACAGCAAGGTACATGACTCTGAAAGGTTAGAAGAGAGGGACTGAAAAGAAAACCTTGCAAGTTTGCAGACATAAAACAATGATTTAAAACACAGTATCAGAAATTGGATGAGTTGCAAGTTTTTCAAAAGCAGTCCTGGAAATGAGACAACGGAAAATATCTATTGTTTTGAAGGAAAACTACTTCCAACTTAAAATTATATTCCTAGCCAAACTATTAAGTATTATGGTAGACATGTAGGTTCCCAAGACATGTAAATTTTCATAAAACTAATTCCTAAATGCCCATCTTCATGTTTTTACTCAAATATGCAGAGAGATTTTAACCACCCTGTCTAAAGTAGAAATCTTCAGCACTATCTTGGCTACTTTATCCTAACCCTTACCTTTCTGATCTCTGAAACACTGACACAGAACATTTTTCTTAATACCACCTGCCTGAGAAACTCTAAATTCCAAGGAGGCAGGGACTTTGTTCACTGATGGTAACACACACCTAGAGCCTTATATGCCATAAAACAGGTCCTTAAAAAATAATCAGTTTGCTAGAAATATGTTTTTATAAAATTAAGCAATGAATCATTACTTAACTATGTATTCATGAGAATAAACAAACGCATTTCAGAAACAGAAGGTTTTCACAGGCCTCGGAGACCTCTTTCTGAAAGCAGAAAGGATATTTGTCAAAAGCTGAAGGAAAAATCATCCATTACACAGACTATGAATTTTCCATTTTTTTCTGGAGTACGAAGCCTATGTCCCTTACCTCAATTCGGAGATAAAATCTCCACTATCAAAAACTAAGAATTAGCCTTCTCTGAATCAATTCAATCTCATTAAGATTCTTTGACACAATGATTCATTTACAAGAAATACATCCTGAAAAAAAACAGAAAACTAGCGAACAACCCAACACAGACAGCCCAAATCCTCACATTAGCAGGATTTGATTGGGTCTGGATCTGGCCAAGATCAGAATAGCTGATCCTTCTCTCCCCCCGTTTCACTGTAGCCTAGCTACAGCTGCAGCTGCCAGACATGGAGCAGCTTACTGCTCACAGTACAGAATGTCAGCTTTGAACCATAAATGAAGGCAGGCTGCCAATGATCAGCAGGAGATAGCTGAAATTTAAAATAGACATTAACAGGAAAAACGGGACTGCTTTTCAGAAACCTGTCTATTTGATTAAGGTCTATTATGCTTATATTTCCAAACATAAGAAGTTCAAAAATAATTTATCTAATTAACTCTGGAAAATCCATTTCATTCATCAAACATATGTTGAGAAACTCATTTATTTCAAGAGATTTATAGACATCAACTTTCCGGAGCTAGAAAACTGCCTGTGAAGTCCTCTAAGGCAATGGTTAAGTCACTCAGCTCCTTTTCCCCCTTTTTTAATCTCTAGCACTAGTCACAGCACCAAGCACATAGCACTTACCAAACTCATAACCTCCTCATTTTTAGAAGACACTGAGGCTCAGAAACATCATGTGGTTTGCCCAAGGATGTTTACAGTAGAAGTTAGTGGCAGAACCAGGACTACCGCACAGACCTTACTCCTGACTTTTCTTTTAATGTCTGACCCAATTTAAACAGAGGCAGAGGAAAGGAATAACAACTTCTTGAATCATGAATCATGCTTGGTCTTTCATGTACTTACAAGTCTCCCCAAATGAGATTTACAAATAATTCACTTAGATCTGACTTCTTCAAGATAACTTTGAGACATGCCTAATAAAAAAAAATCTAAAAGGGAAAAATCTTAACTTTTACACCCATGAGTAGTCTATTTTTTATGTGCAGGAATTCAGTATGTGCATACCCTTCTCCCTTTAGGCATTTATTGTGAGAGTCAGAGAAACGAAGAATTTTCTATTCACTGGTCGACTTCCCAGATGCCCAAGATAGCTGGGGCATGGCTAGGCTGAACCTGGGAACCCAGAACTCAATTTAGATCTCCCATCTGCCTGGCAGTAATGCAAGTACATGGACCTTCATCTGTTGTCCTCCAAAACGTACATTTGTAGGAAGCTAGACTCAAATGAAGCTGGGAGTTAGCACTGTGGCAGAGCCAGTAAGGCTGACACCTGCAATGCTGGCATTCCCCCTTGGGTGGTGGCTTATGTCCCAGTTGCTCCACTTTTAAACTGCCTCCCTGCCAATGGCCTAGAAAAAGCAGCAGCAGATGATTCAAGCCTGCAAGTCGTATGGGAGACCCAGGTGAAGCTCCTGGCTCTCCGGTCACTGTAGCCACCAAGGGAATCAATCAGTGAATGTAAGACTGTAATATTAAAGAAAGGCATCCTGTTATGGGATGTGGGGTTTTTTTTCCCTCCTCCCAGTTTAAAAAAAAAGTAGTGACAGGAAGAGAGATGGGGAAAGAGAGAGAGAGAAACTTTCATTCAGTGATTGACTCCTCAACAGGCCTGCCAGTCAGAATTGGGCCAAGATAAAGCCAAGAGACCAGAGCAGTCTGGGTCTCCTACATGGGTGACAGGGACCCAACTGTTTAGCCCTCATCTGATGCCTCCCAGGATGTGTGCTGCAAGAAAGCTGAAGCAGAAGCCAGGATTCAGACCATGAGTTCTGACGGGACCTGAGTGCCATAAATAGCATATTTATTTATTTTTAAGATTTTATTTATTTGAAACTCAGAATTACAGAGGGGAGAAGATAATCTTTTATGCACGTGTTTATTACCCAAATGGCTGCAATGGCTAGGGTTGGACCAGTGGAAGCCAGGAGCCTAGAACTTGGGTCTCTGCTGGTCCAAGTTTCATACATATGAGAATGGTAGACGCCATTGCAAAAAGATACTAAAGAGCCTCATTTTACATCTGCTGATTCACTCCCTAAATGGCTGCCACAGTGAGGCGTGGGCCAGCTCAGAACTCTATCTGGGTTTCCCACGTGACTCAAGTGCTTGTGCCATCATCTGCTGCTTCCCAGGACAGCAGCAGAGAGCCGAATCAGAACAAAGCAGTGGCTTAATGTGGTATGCCACAACATTCGCCCCACAGAAATATTTTAAGGAGCCAGCACTGTGGCAAAACAGGCCGAACCTCTGCCTCTGGCACTGGCATCCCACATCAGCACTGGTTTGCATCCCAGACGCTCTACTTTCAATCCAGCTCCCTGCTAATGGCCCAAGAAAGCTGCAGAGGATGGTCCAAGTCCTTGGGACCCTGCACCCATCTAGGAGACCTGGAAGAAACTCCTGGCTTTTGGCTTTGGATCGGCTCAATGTCCACTGGTGCTGCCATTTGGGAAGTTAACTTGTGGACAGATGTTGGTCTCTGTCTCTCTGTAACTCTTTCAATTAAAAATAAAAATAAACCTTAAGAAAACAAAGAAATATTTTAAGCACAAAAATGACAAGGATCCTATCTGCTACAGGGACCTTCTGGACAGTAACATAGAAGATGAGTTACAAAGAGGACAAATCCAAGGGCTTCTGACATATGAGACATGATGAAGATTTGAACAAAAGCACTGACCAAAAGAAGTTGGAAAAGTAAAGATAGATTTGAACAACAGTGCAACTAGAACTCTAGTTACTAAATACATAAACAAAGAAAAAAAAAGAAAAGGAACTAACACTGTTGAGATAGCAACCAACAGGCAGAAAAAATGTCCCTTAGATACTCTGAGTAACCAAGCGTCTGAAGGTATTTTGAGGAAAACAAAGCGTTTTTTCAATTACCCACAGCTGGCTTCATAATATGTTACCATTGAAAGGGAAAGACAGGAAATGAATCAATAAACTTCAGGCACATGCTCAGCCTGGAAAGACAGCATATCAAGGAGCAGAAATCGGAAAACAAAGGCCCTGGGTAGTTTAATTACCAGGCCGGAATCTGCTGACTGCCGGTTTAATTGTTTGAACAGTGCCCAAACTGTCTGTCGAGGTGACTACTTTATGATTTTTGTACCATTCACTGCACGTGACCACACGGACAAACAAGAGAAGTGGCTTTAAGGAACTGAAGGATCTTAGCTTTCATTAATCATACCAATGAAGCTAAAGGAAAAATTTACTGTCAACACCTTATCATATTTATAAATATCTCAAAGCTCTTGTTGGCGAATTAATTTGTATTTATCTAGCCTATGCCACCAGACTAAGAAAACAGTTTCCTTCAGAGATGAGCACCAGCAACCAGAAAACCAAAGTTACACAGATTAGAGGTACATGCTCTTATTTATTCTGCAGGGTTTTTTTTTCAGGGAGGTGTGGGAGTTGGAGGGAAGAAAGATATAAATACAGGATAACTACCAGTAAGTACTCAAAACTGCTCAGCTTTAGAGGAAGCCAATGTTCTCCACGATTCAGTTAGTATTTCCTCATTCATGTTTATCTCCTGAAGAGTAAACCAACAGAAAATTCCTTTCAGAAACCGAACAAAGAGGCACTTCAGATGATTTAAGCTGGCAGAGCGTTCTCCTGTTGGCGTCACTGAGTAAATAAGGCCCATAAGGCTGAAGTAGACTATTACATCATTCATTTAGCAGGTAGTTATAAAACACTTTATATTATCCTCAGTTTGCAGCAGCAGCTTCCATTCTATTAGAGATAGGACATGGCAGTGTGTAGACAATTATTATTAAAGACTTATCTATTTTTTTCTGGAGAGGCAGATTTACAGAGAGAAGGAGAGACAGAGTAAGATCTTCCATCTACGGGTTTACTTCCCAAGTAGCTGCAACAGCCAATCCAAAGCCAGGAGCTTCTGGGTCTACTATGTGGGTGCAGGGTCCCTGTAGCCAATACTAACAGAATTATGCAGAAAAGATAATGGCACACAATATTCTTATCAGACACTAAGGTGGGCAGTATGAATTGAGAAAAACATAGCAAAAGACATGGAACTAACTAAAACTTTTAAACAAGCAGGATTCAGCCCAGTGTGGTAATCTAGTGCCTAAAGTCCTCACCTTACATGTGCTGGGATCCAATATGGGTGCTGGTTTGTGTTCCAGCTTCTCCATTTTCCACCCAACATCCTGCTTGTGGACTGGGAAAACAGTGGAGGACAGCCCAAAACTTTGGGACCCTGCACCTGCATGGGAAACCTGGAAGAAGCTCCAGGCTCCTAGCTTCAGATCAGCTGAGCACTGGCCGCTGTGGCCACTTGGGGAGGGAAGCAGCAGACAGATCTTGGACTCTCCTTTCTGTAAATCAAAGTTTCCAACAAAAATTAATAAATCTTAAAAAAAATAAGGCAAGAGTCTAACAGGTGAACAGCAAAAGGCTTCCCAGGGCTCCACATCAATAGGTGTGCAGATTTTTAGTCAGAAATTTCCATGATCTATTTTGAGAGCCAATATGAAGATGTTCAGTAATGGGTTAGGGAGAGGAAGTTAGATTTAGCCATCAGATTTGGTAAAAAGTCCACTAGCCAGTCTCCAAAGTACCGATGACAGAAGCAATGCTCCCTACTCCTATTATATAGAGAGGCAATGTAGGGCCAAAGCCACATGCTGTTTCAATAGGAGTAACTGTGACACAGCACATTATGCACCCCAGTTTGAGAGGTGGCTACTCTGCTTCCAATCCACCTGCTTGTTAATGTGCCTGGTAAGGCACAGGAGAGAACTCAAGTGCATGGCCCCCAGGTACTCATATGAGAGATGAGGATGGAATGAATGTCTGGCTCCTGCCTTTGTCCTGGCCCAGATCTGGCTACCACGGTCATCTGGGAACATAAACCAGGGGATGGAGGATCTCTGTCTCTCAGCCTTTCAAGTAAACGCGCGCACACACACACACACACACACACACACACACACACACACACAATTTTTCTTGTTTTTTACTACTTATTTTATGCATTCCACAGGTACAGTTCCAAGAAGACAGTCACACTTCCCTCACAGTCCTGCTCCTCCCGATATCCCCCTCCCTTCCTTAGCACTCTTAAACAGTACTTGCAGTCTTAATTTTTATCCACTCTATATACACAGGTTTAATTTGCCATGAACCCTAATATTCAACAAGTAACAAGTAAAAAGACAACAAGACCACATTTGTGCTGGAGTGTAAACATGGGCTAAAAATGACAATATTATTCAAAAATGCCTATTTTACTCCTATACTTTGTGTGTTCTATATTAGCTGCTATGTTCCTAGTTTTAATGACAACCCTCTGATGATATCCATTAAGATGTTAATCATATAAATGACATGCTTTAGGAAGTGAGGGAAGAGCAGATATCTTTCCTGCAGAAGAAAAAAGAATGTGCAAAGGCACCGAGG